AGAGATTAGAACTAGAGATCACACCCTGCACTGGAGCTGCTTTGCAGAGAAGCAGGACAGCCATACCCAGTTCCCACTCATCTGCTGTGACTGATGGCAGCTCTCCACCTCCTGGGCAACGCAGGAAGTGGAGTGGGGCGATACCAACCAGATGAAGAAACCTGTCTCTGTGCCCATAAACCTCAAAGGGAGGGATTAAAGCAGAAGGCAGATCTTCCTGAAGCGTCTCCTTGAGGGCTTCCTTGGTGGGTCAGTCCTTGGGATCAGCCTGTGCTCATAGGTGGTGGTTTCTCCTCCAGGACTGCATCATCTGCATGGAGAAGCTTTCCTCCCCCTCTGGCTACAGTGACATGTGTGAGTCCAGCACCATCAGGCCGGAGGCTGTTGGTCGCCTGACGAGCTGCCAGCACTCCTTCCACATGCTCTGCATGCTGGCCATGTACTCCAACGGGAACAAGGTACCCAGCTGGCCTGTCCCCACCAGGTCCCCTGCACCCAGGTCACTGGGCTGTGGAGCTCTGATCCTGGCTTCTTTCTCCTGGCAGGATGGCAGCTTGCAGTGTCCCTCCTGTAAAACCATCTATGGGGAGAAAACTGGGACCCAGCCCAAAGGGAAGATGGAAGTCTCCACTTTCCCCCAATCCCTCCCTGGCCACAAGGACTGTGGGACAATCCAGATTGTGTATCACATCAGCAGAGGCATCCAGGTGAGTGCACAGCACGCTGATGGATAGCATAAGCTGTGAGAGCCTCCCAGAGAAGTTTTGGGATCCAGAACAGTGCCTGCTGGCAGAGCATCACTGACAGCCTACGGTGCCTGCAACCAGCAGCTGCAGCAGCTGTTCTTCAGTGTGTGTGGGTCTCCTCCATCAAAGATCGTTTTCTGAGCATCCCCAGAGTTTACAACAGCTCTTCACCTGCAGTAAGGAACTAATGTCTGCCTGAAACATGCTCACAAGGTGGGAGCGATCCTGATGTGTGGTTTCACAGCCCACGCTGGTTTCAGTGGTGGCAGTGAGCTTGCAAAGGTTTGAGCTGTGTGGGTTTTTTTTAAGGTGTCATCAGAGCATGTGGAAAAAGCTGTGGTTTGAGGCTGTCTCCCACCAGCATTTAATTAGATTTTAGAAGATCTGGCTTTGTATCCCAGCATGAGACCGCGCTTGGAGGCCCTGTAATACTCACATGACCAATAAGAACAAGTCAGACACCTTGTGCTCATCAGCTGCCTTTTACATGGAGGAGCTGCTTTGAGATGAGCCTGTGTCAAATCCTGCTGCTGAGGAATTGCCCAACTCCTATGCAGATGGGTGTGTCCATGTCAAATATGTCTCATCCCTTGCAGGGCCCTGAGCACCCCAACCCTGGGATGCCATACACAGCCAGAGGCTTTCCTCGCTATTGTTACCTACCAGACAACGAGAAGGGCAGAAAGGTAAAGCACTGTACCCTGATAACATCACCCTTCTCCTGTTGTCTCGTGGCACCGAGCTTGTCAGGCTTCTGGCAGGCTGTTTTCATGGCTCAAGTCTTCTACCTTTGGTTTTCCTTTCCCCCTCTAGGTCCTGGAGCTCCTGAAGGTGGCCTGGAAGAGACGCCTGATTTTCACAGTGGGCACCTCCAACACCACCGGCGAGAGCAACACGGTGGTGTGGAACGAGATCCACCACAAGACTGAGATGGACTCAAACCTGAGCGGCCACGGCTACCCCGACCCCAACTACCTGGACAATGTGCTGGCAGAGCTGGCTGCCCAGGGGGTCACTGAGGACTGCTTGGGACAGTGAAGCCGTGGGGGCCGGGCTGTGCCGTGCACACCTCGGGGGCCCACCTAGTGCACTTATTCCTGATGCCTTAAAGTTCCTGTGTCTGACCACCCGGCACACTGAGCAATAACAGTTCCGTGGGAGCCCCGCCTGCTCTTCACGTTTTTGGGGGAAGGGAAGGATATTTTTGTAGAAGCTGCACTTGTGTCTCTAGGTGGGATTGATGGCCACGGCCGGGAGCAGCTGGGACAGCAGTCCTGAGGTGACAGGTCCCCTAGGGAAGGCAGGACCTTCCTCTGGTAATACTTGGGGACAGGATGGGGAGATGGGAGTGCCTTGCTCCCACTAAACCACCTGGAAAGCAAGTGGGGGCCTCCCTCTGGTGAACAGCAGCTCCCTGAGGCACCTCTTGCCTCCCTCCTGCCCTGTATCTCTGCTCAGTCCCAATAAACTCTTCATTTCCACAGCCAGTCCCTGCCTCTGCCTTCCTGCTGCCTCAGGGCTTGGGGTACCTCACCTTTAGTGGCCCTCTCTGGGGGACCAACCTGATCCAGGGAGCTTCATTCCAGCCAGGACAAAGGAGGGGAAACTCAGCTCAGCTGGAGGGACATGGATCTTAGTGGAGGCAGGACACAGAGTGCTGGTCCCAGGGTTGCTTCCAACCTGTCAGTGCTTTGGCTGCTGCATGCTGGTGCTCTGTGGCTGTGGTGTCAGCAGAGGTGAGCCATCACTGCCCACCCTGCACAGAGTTGCAGCCCCCTGCTCTTGCCATGAGCTGTCAGCCTCACTGCTCTCCTCCCTAGCCCTTCTGGCAGATCCTGTCCCTCTTTTCTCCTTCTCTCAGGTGAAATGGCAGCAATTTGTGGCTGTTTGTGCACGGTGAAGCCTCTGCAGGGAGGAGCTGCTGTGCTTTGTGCTGCTGCTGCAGGGATACTGGTGCCACCAGCTGGTCGCAGTCATCTTCCTCCTGCGGTGGTGGCAGCCAGCCCAGGTTCCAGCAGCGATGCTCTCCAGCTGGGAGCACACTCCTGGTACTCCTAGCACCTTGCAAGTGGGATATTGCCCCAGTCCTGGTGCCCCAGTGTCCCCAGGCTGGGAGCTGATGTCTTTTGAAGAGCTGTTCCCCTCCCTGTGGCCACTGGACCCAGCTGCACATTGAAACCATCGCTTTGGCACCGGTGCCATCTCCCCTTTCACCTCCTTCCTGGGAAATCTGGGATGTGGCTGGGCTTTGTGGCAGCTCTGCCTTGGCATCCTCCTGGGACCAGCATGTCCTGGACCAGCAAATGGGCAGCTTTCTTCCTGCCATTATAATATAAATATTAGAGGTTTTTCAGAACCTTTCAGGGCAGGAGCTTTCCCCAGTGTCCATCTTGTGCTTGCAGGCTCTAGGGGTAAACCCCTCAACCAGCCTGTGAAATTTAGGGATGCTGCAGGAATGGCAGCTCCTTGGGAGCCACAGCTACCTCTCTGTGTGGTGCTGAGCTCTACTCAAACGGGCTCTGTCTGTTCTTCTCTCACTCTGGTTGCGAAAGGGAGAGGTTTTGAGTTCAAACCCCATCTTTGTACCCTGGATCATGTTCTCACAGCAATCAAAAGAGTGAACCGAAACGAAAATTGAGCAGAGTTCACCCAGCCCTGTACAAAGCAAGAATTTCCTGCCGAGCCTTGCCCAAGGCAGCTCCAGCAGCTGCTCCAAGGTGTGAATCAGCTGCGTCTGGGCTGGTCCAGGGCTTGGGCATTGGGCTGGTCAGGCTCAGCAGCTCATCCCTGGCTGTCACAGCTTTGGACATGAGGCATCTCCTAAAATCCTTGCCCTGTCTGTGCTGAGCCTGAGACGGTCCCTGTGGCAGGGGCAGCCAAGGGGTGGCAAGGAGCGGAACCAGGAGCTCAGACAGTGCTGTACAGGGAGCTGCTTTGTGCTTCCACTCCACTGCTTCAGCCGTGGTGCCCATGGGAGCACAGAGAAGGAGGGCAGAACCTGAAATAAGTGCTTATTACGCTGCGGGACAGGTTGACCAAAAGACTTGTGTGCTCCATCCCCCGGCTGGAGCCCCGGGGAAGGGTGGGATCCCTCCCGCCCCCCCGCAGTGGTGGCTCATCTGCCGCAGGGTGGTTATTCTTAGCCCATGCGTGACCCCGCAGCTATGCTGGGTACCGGCAGCTGAAACTGTGACTCACTGTCCCCCTGCGTCACCCACTCTGCCCCTCGCCACGCCGGGAGTGCCAGGGAGGGGTCTGGCTGGGGGAGAGGTGGAGGGTTGGCAGGGTCCCCAGGGTAGGTATTGCTGGGTCGGAGCGGTGTCAGAGGGAGGAGGGACGGAGGCTGCAGCTGCGCCTGTTTTTCCCCTCTGCAGCTGGACGGTGTAATCTTTGAATGCCCCATTTCCACTTAATCTGAAGGCGTTGTCACGGCCCCTTGGGAAGGGGGAGGAAATCCCCTCCCACGCAGGAGTGGGCGGCCGCTACCCTTGGCAAACACGGGAGAAGGAGCACTCCAACCCCTTTGCGTGGGGAGTGGCGGTGAGGGGCTCCCGAGCCACGGGGCAGCTCCTGCTGTCCCTGGCCCCATGCAAAGGGCTTGGGGAGCCTTTTCCTAGGAAGGGGGAAGGATGGATGGGGAAATGACAGCGTGGGGTGGCCCCAGAGCTTGGTGCTTCCGTGCCCCCGGTGCTGGGTGGGACCGTTCGCCTGATCGCTGGGGTTTGGGTGGGTTGGGGTGTGATGCTCCGGAGCGCTTCCCTGCCCGCGGGGCTGGGCTGGCTGCACCCGAACCAGTCTGGCACGGGCCCACCCCTGGCTCCCGGTGGGCACGGGGAACCCGCAGGGAGCTGGGTCTCGGTGGGGTGAAAGGGGGTGCAGGGCCTCTTGCCCAGCTGTCCCCATAGCACCAACATAGACTGTGACTCCCCCCAACCATCCTGGAGGCTCCGGTGCCTCCTCCGCGCCTCAGTTTCCCCTTTCACATCACAGTCTTTACCCTGGTTCCTCGCAGCCCACTCCGGTGCCTGGGGATCCTGCAGGACCGAGGGGTGACCCGGGTGGCTCAGCTGTTCCCCCTGCCCGCGGGGTCCTGCCGGGCCGGCAGAGCCGGTGCAGGAATGTGGGGCTGGGAGGGTCCGGCTCCTGGGCACGGGCGGTCCCCGCTGCGGGGGCACTGGGGGCAGTTTGTCCCCTCGGCAGTGGGACGGGGGGAGCGGAGCAGAGCGGCACATCCAGCCCCAGCGGGAGGACGTCATGGAGCTGCCGTGGGTGCTGCTGGCGCTGGCTGGGACGGGCACAGCCGCGGGCCTGGGTGACTGCCTGGGGGACAGGGCAGAGGGGGACGGGGGTCTGGAGGGCCAGGGAAGGGGTTATGGGGCTGGGCATGGTTGGGGAGGTACCCACACCAATGCTGTCCCCCTGCTGCTGACACTGCTGGCACTCTGTGAGCCCTCCCTGTGCCAACACCGGCACTCGTGGGCCTTCTCCACGGGTGGTCAGCCACTTGCTGAGCGGAGCAGAGCAGGGGGTCCCTCGCTCACCGTCCACTCCCCCAGCCCGGCTGCCCTACGTGCCCCGCGTGCCCCCCGTGGCACTGCTGGGGAAGGTCACTGCCACCACCTTCGCCCTGGAGAGACCCTGCTGCGTCTTCGAGCGGCACGCCAACGCCTCGGACACTGTTTGGCTGGTGGTGGCTTTTGCCAACGGTGAGCACCCGCTGCCCCGGCACATCTCCCCCTGGCAGAGGGGTGGGGGACCCTCACCAGAGCCGCTCGCCCTCCATCTGTTCTGTGCAGCATCAGCCACCTTCAGGAACCCCTCATCCCGGGCTGACGTGCCCCTGTACGAGCAGCTGCCCACCACCCACTCCTACATGACTCTGGAGACGGCGGCGGCCGCATTCGCCTGCCCAGCCCCGAGCCCGGCCGTGCTGCGGGTCGGGGGTGACACGGCGTGCAAGGACCAGGGCAGGCAGGACCCCTGCAACGGGCCCCTGCCCTCCCCAGGGCCCTACAGGTAAGGCCAGAACCCCCGGATCCCAGCTCGGGTAACTCCCCACACAGGGTGTGCTCGTCCCCCCGGTGTCGTTCTCGTACCCACCCCAGGGTGAAGTTCCTGCTGATGGGCTGCCACGGCCCCAAAGCGGAGACGCGCTGGTCCAACCCCATCCTCCTGCGCAGAGGTACCAGTGGCACTGCCATCCCCCTGTGGGTCCCCACACCTGCCTGGTGGCACTGCCATCCTCCCGTGGGTCCCCTACCTGCCCTGTTGGGGTGCTGGCGTGCGGCACAGCATAAGCCCCATGCCATCACCCCAAAATCCAGAGGGGAGAGAAGTGATCCCTGATGCCCCCCGTATGCTCCATCCCTCTCCTTTCCATTGCTCTCTGTGTCTCCCCATATCCCTCATCCTGCCTCTTTCCAGCCCTCAGCCCAAGCACCATCCATCCCGTGCCCATGCGCCATGGCAGTGACGTGGTGGTCATCGCCTCCCTCCTGGCCAGCCTGGGGACAGTGCTGGCCACTGCTGTGCTCGGAGCCCTGGGGTACGGGGGCTGCTCGGGGGGGGATGTGTCTGCAGGAGCCCCAAGAGAACACCCCAACTTGGCCCCATCGGCAAAGAGATGGTTTTAAGATTTAAAAAGCCTTTTTGTTCTTAAACTGGGGAGGCTGACATAGTTTGCAGAAGAAAGTGCCCCTTGGGGATGGTCAGCACGGGGGACTGGCAGGGCTCATGGGCTCTGCTTGACGCATCTGTATCTCTCTCTCTGCAGTACCAAGGTGTGGGGCTCCCTGTGCCAACGGGATTTGGGGACCAGCGCCTTCGCCCGCAGATCCTACCGGACCCATCACATCCCCCCGGCCCTGCCACAGCCCCCGCCCCCAGGCTGTGGGTGCAGCCCCCCAGGGCTGGGCTGCTTTGCCCTCCGACCCCCTGCTCCTTGCCATAGGAACATGGAACAGTTTGTGTTGGAAGGGACCATAAAAACCATCTCATTTCAACCCCGCTGCCGTGGGCAGGGACCCCTTCCACTAGAAGTAAAGTGTCCTGCCAAGTAAAGTCTGACTTTACATCTCTGACTGCCTCCTCCTGGTCCTCGGCCACTCAGGGTGGGAGCTGTGAGAGTGGGGGCACCGAATTCCCTCCGGAACAACCCAGAGTCTCAGTTTGGCGGCATTTGGTGTCGGGGTGGGGGCACACGCTGGCACCCGTGGAGTCTGTGGGGCAGATCACCCCGGTGTGTCCCTCTGCCCCACTGCCCAGGTGAGGGCTGTCGCCCACCCGTGCCCCGAGTGCGGCGGTTCCCAACACGCCTCGCCGGCGGGCGCTCAAACATAACAAACGCTCCCGGGGAAACGAGCCCAACCTGTTTGCCGCGGGGCTGCGGTCGGTGCAGGAATGTGGGCGGCTGGTGTGACCACAGGCGGGTCCCACGGGGACGCGGAGCTCATCTACCCGCACTCCCGCCCTCGGCACCCAAGCGCCCGCACCATGCTCCCGCTGCTCCTCCTGCTCCTGCCCGCCGCCCACGGCAAAGGTGAGTCCGACGGTGCCATAGGGATGGGCCAGGGATCCCCCTCGGCATTGCGGGGGTCCTCTGTGAGCCGCAAGACCCCAGAGCCTGGCGGTATAGGAAAGCTGATGCTCTCCTTAATCTGGGTCCTATTCTGAGTGCCACCTCTCGTGTCCCTGGTGTCACTGACCGGGGTTGGCTGGCACAGTGTGGGGTCCTTTGGGGGTCACCCTTGGCATTGCAGGACGCCCCTATGCACAGGCACCAGGCCCCCCCTGAGCCTGGATGGTTAGGGCAGCTGCTGCTCCCCCTTTTCTGGGTGGCACCCTCGGTGTCCCTGGTGTCAACGACCTGAGTCCTCTGGGGGTCCCGCAGGGATGTCTCCGCCCAACCCAGGGTGGGAGCATGGGGTGTCTGATTCCTCTTTTCACAAAACACACGTCTGAGCCCAAAACGGGAGGTGGGAAGTGAGCAGTGGCCCCACCGCTGAGATCACGGTGTTCAGCTCCCTCCTGTCCCCACCCCGAGCCCCTGGGACCACGGCAGCCAGTCGGAGCCACAGGTCAGAGGTACAGTGGGGGCTCTGCCCCTCTGCTGCACCCCCTTGGCTTCTGCCCACAGTGGAGCATTTGAACTACATGCCGTTCCTGACCAAGAACCCCGTGCTGGAGGGACTGACGACCGGCTCCACCTTCGTGCTGGAGCAGCCCCGCTGCGTCTTCAAAAACGACAGCAAAGCCGACATCTGGCTGGTGGTGGCTCTGGAAAACAGTAGGTGGGGGCGGCCCAGGGCAGGGGGTGGGCAGGGTTCCCTGTGCCTCCTCAGATCCCTCCTGAAGCCCCATCCCCGTCCCTGCAGCCACAGCCACCTTCAACAACAGCATTGCGCCGGGGACTGCCAAGAGAGCGTTCCAGAACTTCCCTCACAGCGCCCCCGCCTACATGACCCTCAATGCCACCCTCGCCAACTACCCTTGCCACAAACCCCCCGGGGATATCACGGTGCTGCGCGTTGGCAGCGAGACCAGCTGCATCCGGGATGAACGGAGACCCACCTGCAATGGCCCCCTGCCCGGCCCCGGGCCCTACGTGTGAGTCTGCTCCTGTGGATGTGCCCCCCTCAGCGGCTCCCGGCAGCCCCCCCCGGCTAACGGGACCGTGGCCAACCTCTCTTCCCATCTCAGGGTGAAGTTCCTCGCCCTGGAGGGCTCCGAGCCCGTGGCTGAGACATCCTGGTCACAGCCCATCATGCTGAGGACAGGTATTGCTGCTGGAGGGCTCACCCCGCAGCTGTCGGGTGGGGGATATGAGGTGGTCCTGGGGGGTGTGGGGTGGTCCCAGGGAGCTGAATCCTGAGCAATGGTTTGGGGCGAGGGCCCCTGTGAGACGGGGAAACTGGAGGCAGGGCAGCGGTGCGGGTCTCACTCGGGTACGGTGGCAGCGTGCGATGGCACATTGTGTTGGCACACAAGGACACAACTGTCACCCATGTGGCCCCCTCGGAGCCGCCCTGGGCTGTGCAATCCCTGCATCCTGCTCCCTCCCCTCCCGCTCTCTCCCCAGCCAAGTCACCCAACAGCATCTCCACGACGGACGGAGGGCACAGCGCCGGCATGATCGCCCTCACCACCATCCTCTCCATCCTCTTCGCCATCCTCCTGGCCGGCCTGGTGGCCATGCTCGTCTTCTGGGGGTGAGTGCCACCACCACGTCCCACCCAGGAACCCAGTGATAGGTGCTGGGCACGCGGGACCGGCGCCAGAGGGTGACTCCGTCATCCTGTGGTCCCCACCCTCATCCCTCCCCCCCCCCCCTTCCCTCCCCAGCTCAGACACCTGCGGCGGCAGCAGCACCTTCAGCAAGCCGGAGGCGGTGTCGGTGCGGCGGTACAACACCCACCACGTCTACGACCAGCCGGCCGCCCGGCTCTGAGCCCCCGCCGCCCCCCGCAACCGCCCCGCCTCCCCACGCACCCCTGGGTGCCCCCACGGCATGAGCCAGAGCAGCCCCCCGAGGCTGGGGCACTGGAGCGGCACATTAAAGGCTTTTCCGCGTGCTTTGTGCCCGGCCTCCGCCTCGTGTTTGTGACTTCCCCCCCGGGAATGGCACCTGCCAAAACCTCGGCGCCTCCCGCAGCCCCCTGGAAATCCCCGTGGTCCTGTTCCTGTGCCCCCTCGCAGGGCTTTTAGCCCTGTCACTGGGCAGGGGGAGGGCGGGGGAAGATGTGGCCCGGGATGCCCTGGAGTGGGAGATGTGTTGTCACACCCGTTTGGGGTGCCACCTGTGCCCTCTCTGAATGGGGGAAAGTCCCCTGGGGCACAGGGCAGCGAGGGGAGGCCCCCCCAGCCCTGACACTGGGGTGAGGGGCACTGGAATGTCCCATGGGGGGAGTATAGGGGGTGTTTCTCTCTTCCCCTTAACCCCACAGCAATTTCTCGCTCACCCAAACCCAGAGCTGGCCCAACCCTTCCCAGGTGTTCTTGATGTTCCCCTGAGAGCCACGAGACTGGTACCCTGGGATGCCTGATCCTGCACTGGGGGGTCGGGCCCTGATCCTGCTCCAGGTGTTGTGGGGATTGATCCTGCACTGGGCAGTGAATCCCTGATCCCTCTCTAGGGAATGTGGGGGCTGATTCTGCACTGGTGGGGAAGTGAGCTGGGGGAAGTTGATGCTTTACCAGAGACTGGAAGGGACCTGATCCATCATTCCTGATCCTGCACCAGGATGTGGGCCCCTGATACTGATGTGGGGATGTGGGTGCCCTGATCCTGCAGCCTGGGCAGGATGCGACCTCCGCCGGTGCTGGGGACAAGCAGGACAGAGCTCACCGCGGGGTGGCTGTGCCCCTTTGCGTGGAGCCGGGGCAGGTGTGCACACACCTGCAGACATCACATCCGTATGTTAAACCCACCGTTTCTCCCCGTAGGCGCCGTGCAAAGGGCAGCATCACATTCACACCCAGCCCCGGTCACAGCGCCCTTACGGGCTGTCCTTGTCCTGCCTGGGAGGGGTGTTAGCAACCTGCCCCCCTCCGCTGCCGGAGCCGCCCCCGTGGAGCCCAGCCAAGGGAAATCAAGCAAATCCAGCGATTAACTCCTGCGGAGAACCAGCGTGGGTGCAGCCGAAGGACGGTTCCATCCGGCAAACGCGGGTCCCTTCCGACCCACACCCCGTCCCCCGAAATAAAACAACTGTTTCAGCTGCAAAGCGGCTTCGAGTGGCTTGGGGGGTTGTCACCTGTCACACGGGCGCTGTGGGGGTGGGACACGTGGCACACCGACCGCGGGTGGGGCTGGAGCTGCCACTCGGGATGCTGGCAGGGGACCGCACCTTGTCCCCTTGCTGTCCCCGTGCGGGGGAGGGAGAGGGACAGCGCTGTAGGAACAGGGCAGCGCGTTCCCGGCGTGTTCCCAGAGTGTCCCCGTAGTGTCCCCAAGGCGCAAATGCCAAGGACCAGCTTGGCCGGCACAGCCCTGAGCCCCAGCTTTGGGTGAGGGGCGACTCCTGGAGCCCAAGTGGGTATTGCGGGGGATAAGATCCCCCTCCCTCCGCGGGTATTTAGGGCACCAAGCCCCCCCAGAAATCCCACCGGTATCTCGGCGGTGTCGCAAAAAATGGTAAAAAAGGTAAAAGAGCAAGAAAATGTCGGGGGTTTGGGGTGCAGGGCAGCGAGGAGCAGCGCACGCTGCAGCCCCCCAGGTTCGGGGTGGAGGAGGCGACTGTGGGTCTGGTCCAACCCAGAAGCCGCGGCCGGTGCCGGGGGGCCGAGTGGGACGGGGAGAGACCGAGTGGGACCGGGAAGAACCAGGAGGGACCGGCAGGGACCGAGCGGGGGAACCCCCCGGGACCACCGGCCGGGCTTGGGGGGGGGAACCTGTCCCCGCCCACCGCTCCCAGGCCACGCCCCCTGGCCGACAGCCGACAGAGCCGCCCAATGGCCACCGCGGAAGGGTTTGCAGGCCACGCCTCTCGCCCCGCCCCCGCGCGCTGATTGGCGGGCTGCAGCGCCGGCCCGCACATGGGCGCTGTGCCGGGAGCCGCGGGTTCGAGGCCGCGCTCGGCGCCTCTCGGGCTCCGCTCGGCTCGCTGTGGCTGCGCTGCCCGCCCGCCATGGCCCGGCGCAGCGCCCTCTCCATCCGCATCGTGGAAGGCAGGAACCTGCCCGTCAAGGACATGTGAGTGCCCCCCGCGCGGGCAGGGAGGGGTTTGGGTTGCGGGAGCCATCCCCGGGAGGGACCCCCCCTTCGCTGCCCCGGGAGTGCTGCGGGGTGTCCCCTCAACAGGTCCCTGTTGGGGACGCCACCCCACTGGGTGTCTTTGGAGGGTTTCCCTTGCTTTGGGGGCTTGGCCAGAATGGCTTGGTGTACCCCCAGCAGTGCATGTACTTTGGGGGTTCCCTCCAGGGTGGCTTTCATGTCGCCTTTCTTTGGGTGTCTCCCCAGGCTGGCTTTAGAGTGTCCCCCCAGGAGTGCATGCATTTTGGGGGTTCTCTATAGGGTTTTTGGGATCCCCCTTGCTTTTTGGGGTTCCCTCCAGGAAGGCTTTATGGTTGCCTTGCTTTGCGTGTTGCCCCTACTGTGGCTTTGGGATTCTTCTTGCGTTGGTGGTTCCATCCAGGATGTCTGTGTGTGCCCCCAGCAGTTCTCAGCGCTTTGGGGGCTTCCTTCGGGAGTGCTGGGATGTGCCCTGCGGTTCGAGGACACCCCCAGGAGCATCCCATGTTGTAGGGTGCCCTTAGCAAATGCTTTAGGGTACCCCAGGCAGTGCTCCAACTTTGGGGTGCTCCCCCTGTGCTGCCGGGGGGCAGGGCTGCCCCCACCACGCAGGGACCCCTGCAGGGACCCCGGGACATGCAGCAGGACCCGGTACATCCGTCCTCCCTCACAGGAGCAGGGAGTGCCCCGGTGCTGTGGCCCCTATCCCTACTCTGTTCCCAGCCCCGGCTCCATCCCACCTGGCTGCGGTCCGGGGGGCTCCTCTGGCAGTCCCTCGGCTCGGGATTTCCCTCCGAGAAAATCCCGGCGTGGTTCTCATCGCTCCGATCCTTATGGGGTGGGATGTAGGGACAGCGTTGGGGTGGGACGTGGGGACAGCACCGGAGTGCCCCACAGCCACCAAGGCAGCGGGAAGCTGTTGAGGAGCGCCCGGCAGCCGGAAAACCAGCAAAAATCCCTTCAGCCGTCATGGAAAAAGAGGATAAACAAGGAAAGAAAGATGACTTTTTTTTTTTTTTTTTTTTTTTCTTTTTTTAAATCCCGTGTGTCGGAGCCTGATTTTTAAATCCCTTGGCACAACTCCCTGCCGGAGCTTGACCCAGCGCGGGCAGGCTCTGGATTTCGGGAGGCTCTGGATTTGGGGAGAGCGTGCTGTGGGAAGCCGCCGTGCCAGAGCGCCTGGAGCGGAGCTTTCCAGACCGGTGGTTTTGGGACGTGGCGCTGGGCCGGGAGGGAAACCCGAGCGCGGCCGCGGCCCCAGCCGCTGACCTTGGCCGTGTCTGGCCCCCTCCCCTCCGGACAGCGGCTCGTGGGATCCGGTTCCCTGCCCTGGCACGGGTTTTGGGATGGCTGGTTTCCTCGTGGGAATTCCCTCTGCGGGGTGCACTGGCGGGTCAGACCCTGCAGGCGACAGCCGGGGGTGATGAGGCACCTCCAGACCCCCGCGGGAACCCCACCTCCCGCAGGATTCGGCACAGGAGCAGGATGTGGCCGCGGCTGCTGTGGTTTGTGGCTCCCGATGGTGCCCTGTCCCAGGGTCCGGACCCCCAGCGCGGGGCTCGGCACTGCCCGGACCGAGCTGCAGCTCGGGGTGAGCTCTGCCCTGTCCTCCCTCCCAGGGTGAGCGCTGGGAAATCCTTCCCGCGTCGTCTTCATCCCAGGAGAGGGAGGCAAATGGTCTGCTCGATTTTTTTTTTTAATGATTTTTAATTTTTATTTACTTTGTTATTGATTTTTTAATTTGATTTTTATTTTGTTTGAATTTTATTTTATTGTATGATAATAAATAATTCTAATAATTATTATTATATTTATTATATTACTTTTTTTTCACTCTTGCACTTTTTATTTTATTTTATATTTATTCTTTTATTCTTCTTTTTCACGGTGTTATTTTACCTTTTATCTTTTAATTTTTACCCTTTTTTCTTTTATTTTTACCCTTTATTGTTCTATGTTTTATTTTATTCTTTTACTATGCTATTTTTCTTTTTTTTTTTACTTTTTTTTTATTCTATTTTCCTTTTTCAATTTTTTATTTGTTTTATCACTACCCCCCAGGGCAGAGCTGCACAGCTGCCTACACCAGTTAATTTTTAATTCCAGCCTTCCGTGCCTCAGCCCCCCGTGCTGCCCGACTGGTGGCTGCGGGGGCCACGCAGGTTCCTTCTCCCTTCCCCCAGTTCATACAGAGCTCATTTCCTCTTTCAGAAGCCCAGCCTTCCCCTTTCCAGCTCCTTCCCTGCACCCCGCGGGGATGCCCAAGCCAGCTGGAAGCTTCGTGGGCGTCAGAGGATGCCCAGCACCCACCGAGCCTGCAGCACCATAAATCCCTTCCCGACATCCCGGGACAGGGATGCGGTGCACGGGATGTCACCGGGCTCCCCGCCTGCCTTGGGAGCGCGGGTTTATCCCACGGCAGCTTGGGCAGCCGCCCCGAGGATGGATTCTGGCCGTCCTGTGTTTGAATGCTTGGAAAACATGATGCCTGGGTGGTACAAGAGGGGTTTCCTGGCACCCTGTGTCCAGAGGATGTGGCTGTCCTGGACATCTCCCCGTGGGGAGATGAGGTTTTCAAGCTCCCACCCCAGCCAGCCCCGCGTTGCCGGGCACAGCTGGAGCGGGCAGCTGTTCCCTTTCCGCCTGCCTGCTCCCTGCATCCCTGATGGTTTGCACAAGGCAGGAAATGTCAGCAATGAGCTCCCGTTAATGGCACT